GTTTATTTAGTGAAATTTTGACTTTTATATGTAAAAATTATTTCCGGTTTTGCTAAAATTTTTTTAAAAGTAAATTATTTTTGGAACTATACGGTATTTAATAATATTTCAAAAATAAATTTATATAATAATTTTTAAGATTTAATGATAGCAACTTTTTTAATATTTCAATTTATTTAATTTTTAAACATGCTTGATTTTTTATAAAAGGTGTTTATTACGCTTTACAAAGAAAGTCATGATGTCATATGAAAATTAGAAATTTTGTAAACATTTAGAATTTAGCAATTTCAACTAAATAACAATATAAACGATCGAAAAATATGATTAAACCAATCCAGAATCTTAAAAATAATGCTCGACACAATCCAGAATCTTAAAAAAGAGCTCGACACAATCCAGAATCTTAAAAAAGAGCTCGACACAATCCAGAATCTTAAAAAGAGCACGACACAATCAAGCAAACATTTGACATTCATCAATTCGGATATTAAATGATGATGTAATACATTCTAATACTTGATCAATTCGGATATTAAATGATGCAATCAAATCACGATCAGTTAAATGTACACGATTTGAACCATGATTATTTAATATTCAACTTGATCAAAATTTTACCGAGAAAATGTCTCGATCAACATCACACAGAAATTTTCTCGATTAACGTCACAGAAATCATGACGTCACATATTTGACAAGGACTAAAAATTATTCATAAAAAATGATTATAAAATTTTTAGAGTCGAATAGAATCTTGGAAGTTTCTCAATTACGAAAATCATGGGCACAAAAAAACATGGGTACAATAATCATAGCGATAAACATAGTGATAAACACAAAAATCATAGGTACAAAAATCATAGTGATAAACACCAAAATCGTAGGTAGGGGCACATCTTTTTACAATGCTAGAATGATTGTAATTAGTTTTTAAACGATTATATATTTTTTAAAGCTGGTTAAAATTAAGAGAGAAAAAATCATATAGCATAAAACCATAATATATATAGAGTATTATAGATGTATTAATTAATTACATCAGACATAAGCGTTAAAATTTAATTGATACGAAAATGAAGTATTTGATATATATAATTAATTTTCCAGTTAATTATTAAATTGATTTATTGAAAATGCAAAAGAAAAAGATTTAAATGCAGTGATCTTTGATCTTTGCATGAACATCAGATAATAAAGTTATAAAAATTGGATTATTGAAAATGCAAAAAAAATATCAGAATGCAGAGTTCTTGGCATGCATGTTAAAGCGATAGGATGAACGTAAATAAGTCATACAATCATTCAATTATATTTTCCTCTAAATGATATAAATTAGGTAGTCATACATTCATTCGTTTATATTTGCCCTCTAAATGATGTAAATCAGGTACAAGATATTAAAAATTAAGAAGGCTGTAACTGGTTGGAGCAGTTGTTTGTGGCTTTTTTGTCAAATGTTTAACGACAATGAACGAAATGCATTTGAATCAAATTCAATCTCATGAAAGATCATGGGGGATTTCATCATCGGCACCAAATAAGACGACCCCACATTGGAAACAACCTAATTCAGAATCATTTAATGTTTTAGAAATAGGGACGGAAATAAAATTAGAGTTTAGAATAAAGAACTTTTAGTATATATATATAATTTAGGATAAATTACTCCGATTCTAATCGGGCAGATCCTCATTTAGTACGTATAAGTATAATTGTTTACTTAGATCAACTTACTAAAATAAGATCTAATATTGATCATAGTATCTGCTGCTCGTTGATAGACATGATCTAGGGTGTATTGTCGGTGAAAATCATATCATATGAACGTAAGTTAATAGATTTCGAAACGTTTTTTTTTTATTCATATGTTTGAACTAAAATTCTTTGTCCTAAAAATATTAGTTAATATTAGTTAATAATAATATTAGTTAATAATAATATTAGTTAATAATATATATTAGTTAATAATATATATTAGTTAATAATATATATTAGTTAATAATATATATTAGTTAATAATATTTAGTTAATAATATAATTAAAAAAAGCTTAACGCTATAGATTTTCATCGTCCCACAAGAATTGGATTATAACTATTACAGAATTATATTCATTTAATCAATGAAAAAAAAGATTTAAAATAACAGGGATTTACATTCCAACCCCGCACTTTTTTATTCCTGAATTTAGTAATAGTCAAATAAAGAAACAGAGTTTATACAAAGATTTTATACAAAGATTTATAATGTTTTATTATTAAAATAAGGATAATTTTGAATAATCAACAATATTCAATATTTCCTACATTGAACAACCTACAATAGATCATTATTCGCAGTGTTTATTACACATAAAATATGCGTAAATTGCAATTGGTTTTATACTACAAACATGTAATGACATGTAATGACATGTAGTATGTAATAACTGTAATAACATGTAATATACTAGAATAGGCTATGCAAACCTAAATACAAAACAATACATTGAAATAATATGTACCAAAAAAAATTTTTTCAGGATTCTTGCGAGAAATTTGTGAGGAGTCACGAAAATTATGAAATGCATATTATTAAAAATTGTACAAAATTATTAAAAGTAATTTAAAGTTATCAGAATCGGAAAGAAGGTAAGTAGTATGACATAGCACTTTGCATAATACAAAATACAAAATAATACAAAATAGTCCAAAATAGTCCAAAATAATCCAAAATAATCCAAAATAATCCAAAATCGCATTACGAATGTTCTACAAAGGCTGAGGTGTATAATGCACTTCAGTGTTTCATTTCCTAAATGATTATTAAAATTATCAGATGATCTTGATTTTGCTGCATAATCAATTTAATCAAACACTCTGATTTGATATAAAGAATTGCATAAATAACATACTTGTCGGTTCTTAAACATTGGCGTATTGGTTATGCTGCACCAGTTAATCGCATGATTACTATCAATAACAAAACTTTTTAATTCGCTAAACAATAAGAATTCCAGAAATAAACTTATCCCACGCCAAGCCATTTTTTTTTTGCCACCAAAGACTTAAGCGATCGAAGTTGTACAAATCTCAATGATCCACAAATAAATAAACGAAAACGAAAATGAAAATAGTCAAGATCGTGAGAAAAACAAGGCTTTGTAAATTTAATTCGTCTTTCGAAAATTAATTACACGGTCATGAGATGCTGCTAATATTATTTGACAAAGCTCATATGAATTATCTTTATTCATTTTTAAATGGAATCCTTTCGGGAATGTCACATACGTATTCTTAAATCGGGCAAATCCGTTACTCACAATATAATATGTATAACTAATACTGTAATCGAGAATAGTATAATTCAAATTCAAATACCCCAAATTCTTTATTTTATTTTATTTATTTATTTATAATATATATATATATTTTTTGGATTTAAATATTTATTTTATGATGCAATTTTTATTCAATGAGCTAGTGTTTAAATGGAATTATGTGAGATAATCTTTAATGTGAGAATGAAATGTACGACAAAACAAAAAGCAATTAAAACAATTTATATCTTTTATCTAATCATGCATGATTTTGGGACGACTTTTCATTGGATAAAAGGATCGATCTGATAAGATAATGATTCATTCATAGATAATAAAATGGTTCCTAGACAATACTTTGTTATAAGTCATGTAGACAATCATATGATGCTTAATCCATTATCCATAAAACGATTATTGGCTTTATTGTTTCTTTTTTATTCTTGAAATAACTAAATATCGTAATTTTTCACCAAAATGAAAAATGAAATGAAAAAAATATACAATCATGTATATATATATACAAATAATAATAATCTAAAGAAAACCAATTATTTTTCGTGTGAGCACAACGTAGAATTAAAATTTTTAATTAAATACAAACAGTTCATTGTGAGTTTATTGTGGAGTGTGTGAAAATTATTAGTAAAGATAAAAAAGATAAAAAAGATTAAAAAGATAAAAATAGTTCATTGTATATAGAGTGTGTGAAAATTATTAGAAAAAAAAAAAACTGGTTCTCAACGATGGCACTGCCCCAGGCCAATTTTTATTATTTTATTATTTATTTCTTTTCTTTCTAACTAATTTTATTTTCAATTTTTATTTCAAATTTTTTTATTTCAAATGATGTATTATCTAAAAGAATTATAATATAGTTACTAATACGTAGTGTTTCAATAATCCTAAATGTAACTCACATACGTAGTACTTAATTAAATGCACATGACTTTAAATGAAAGAACAATATATATAATCATATTATATATAATTAATAATTATATATTAGGTGACCTAATTCGTTGATCCTAAATGTAACTCGCATAGTACCTAATTAAATGCACATGACTTGAAATAAAGAACAATTTAATATATAATCATATTATTATATAATTATTAAATTATTATTATCGTTATGTATTATATGTTGTTATTATATGTATACGTATATATATGTATATGTAGATATATATATATATGTATATATATATGTATATATATGTACGTCATAGCAACATTTTATAATTCCTTGTGAACGTGTAACTTGAACTATCCCCCACAATTTTGATAATTATTTAACCTATCATTTATATTTACCGAATATTTTTATTTATGTTACATAATAACAATACATAATGTTTTTTGATTCCTTGTTTAGTAATATTATAGTTTTTCAATTCCTGAATTCATGCTATATTTTTTGTATATTATATATATATATATATATATTATATATATCGATATTGTATAAAATGATGCTTATTTTGAAGACATAAAAAATATTATATAAAAGCTGATGAATTCTTCCCTCGTCTACTTTCAATTTATTTCAATTTCAATTTAATAATATCAACCTTCAAAACACTTTGACCACTCTTAATTTAATAATCTTTATAAAAACTAATAAATCTGAAGACACTAACACTAATCTAAAGACTAATATTCTATTCGACTTTTAATTCTTTTTTTTTTTATCAAAAATGCAAAATTTAATTTTACCTCATTTATTCGTTTACCCTTTCACTCGTTCGCAGGTTGTTTCAGTGAAAAAAAATTCTACTATCCCTTACATTCCTCCAGAAATTATTCGTATCATTCTTAAGTTATTAAAAAATGATAAAAATACTCTTGCTTCTTGCGCTTTGGTTAATCATACTTTTAACCTTTTCGCCACTCCTTTATTATATCATACCGTCGCATTCACTACTCCCTATACTTTTACTCTTTTTGCAAATTCAACAATCGATATTAGACAACGTTGCTCCAAAATGGTTCGTCATTTGGATTTTTCCGGCTTTTCTACCTGTGGCCTACGAAAGAGTTCCTCTTCCATCCAAAATGTTATCACTCCTGAAATTTTAATTCATATTCTAAGATCTTTTCCTTCCTTAAAAGCTTTCTCCATATCTGAAACTTTAGAATCCGTAATTACCTTTGAAGTTTTAAAGGTTCTTTTCCTTGAATCTAAAAATCTTACTACCATCGATTTTTGTGGTTGCTCTAGTAAACAATTCGGTAACGCTTTGGATGAGTTCTCCTCTTTAATTGGTCGCGTTAAAATAGATCTTCAATTCGATGATGATAATGATGAATTGGTCACTTTTAATATGATTCATAAACCTTTATTATCTCATTTACAAAGACTTTCCCTTCATGAATGTCCCGTAATTTCTGAATGTTCAATAATCATCCCTTTATTAGCTCATGCTCCAAACCTTACTCACCTTGATTTGGGTGGTTGTTCTGTTGGTGATTTAACTTTATCTTTTTTGGCTGAAGGAACAAACGCTCCAACTACTTTATCTCATTTATTATTGGCAAAGTGTAAAAACATTTCTTCAAATGCCATCGCTTCTTTCGTCTTCAGATGTTCTAAATTAAAAACTCTTAATCTTTACGGTGAAAGGGATATAGCTACTGCTATTCGAGAATGTGATTTAATGACTATCCTTTCTTCTCCTAGTGCTAAAAATTTTTTAACTTTAGATATTGGTTCTTCTCAAATAACTCCAATGATTTTATCAGCAATTAAAGAAAATTGCTTATCTTTACAAAATCTTGGAATTTCAAAAGCTCAAATTTCTAATGTTAATCTTATCAATGATCTTTTAATCGCAATGCCAAATCTACATTACCTTGATCTCACTTCGATTCGATGTTTGACTCCCTTAAACACTAATGGTTTATTCACCAACATTACTAAGAATAATCATTCTATTCATACTATTGAAATGAGTGAATCTTTACTTAAAAAACTTTGTGCAATTGATGGATGGAAAATTAATGTGAATTATGGTAGAAGATGGTATTACGCTCGCGAAACTCAAGGTATTTGCAAACCTGAAATGGTACATTGTAGGAAGTTAGACGTAACCGAATGTGGACCGGAATCTTTGAGCAAGATTTTTCAATATTATAGTTTTGGCGTGTGAAAAAAAGAAATTTTTACTGGACTGGAGAAATATCCATAAAAAGACAATTATAAATTTAAAATTGACAATTATAAATCTTTTTTTTTTAGTTTAATATCTTACACAAAAGAAAAAAAAAAAAAAAAAAAAGAACAATTTATACATATTCAACAATATTCAACCATATTCAACCATATTCAACATATATTTTTAATAGTTATTTTTTTTGTAAAAAACATTTTTTAATCAAAACTGTCAGTTATTACTGTCAGTAAAGTCCTGTTGAGACACTTGTAAATTCTTGAAAACACGATGTACATATTTACGCCACTGGTGTCAATGACACAAGTGTGCAAAGAACGAACTTTTTATTATTTAATACTACTAGTTAGTCAATCGAATTGTCTATCAAACTTATAGTTTAACATAATTTCTCTATATCGGTATGTGGAAAATACTTTCTATATTCACATATTAACATATAGTATATATATATATATAATACGTATATATATAATATATATATATATATAATTAGATATATAAATAATATATATAATTAGATTTATATATATATATATATATTATATATATACGTATATAGATGCATTATAACTACGTATAATTATGTATTTATAATTTTTTTTAAAAAAAATAAAAAATAAAAAAATAATAATAGTGTTCAAACCTAATTTAAAAGTATTTGATATTCACAATTGGCGTATAATCTCATTTTAATAAAACTCACTAAATAATGCAAACAAGTAATTCTACTACGTACAAGCCATCGATTTTTTTTTTGACTTACCTTATACACAAATATATAACATGATTTTGGCTAGTGTTTTTTATACATACTCTTTTTATAATCACGAACGTGAAAATGCGTAAAATAATGGCAAATCGGGCTTTAAAGTTATCATAGTGTTATAGTATTCATAGTGTTATATATCACATGATAATTATCAGATGCTGTGTAATAAAAAAAAAAAAATCCTTTTGGTTTAGTTTAAGTTTATATATATACTTTATAAGTTTAACCTCGACCATTAAACTTGTTGTGATTTTTGAGTAAAATGTCGAATGTGTTATACATATATGATGTCATAGAATGCATGAGTAAAAAATATTAGAAAATTTGTAATTATTTTTTTGAGGTTATATGTCGATAAGGCATTATCAAAAGATATGTTAAAAATATGATCTCATGAACTTTTAATTACCAAAATAATACGTATATTGCATTTTAAAAAAGACCATAATTGGTCGAATAAAAGATTCTCTATCGCTATCGCTATGATACAAAGTACATATTGTACATAACAGATAAGTAACGTAACGTAACTCTTGGAAATTAATGGAATTTAAGTTCCCCATATTGTACTGCCTAATAGAAATGATCAAACAATTTCCATTTGATTATCAACTTTAAAAAAAAAAAATATGAAAGCACGGACCTAGATAAGAGTATTCGTATAAGTTATGATCTCATTGCATTGCTTGTTGGTCAAATTTATTAAGCGGTTAAAGAATTAAACGGTTCTACGTAGTTCGGTTTACTTATCTGTTATTTGCATTAGTAATACAATGCATGACACTTAAAGACTACGTACACAACTTTTAAAAGATAATAATCTAAAAAATAATTTATTATAACTTTGCGGTTTTTTAAAAAAAATTTATTAATTTTTTTTTTTTAAAAAAAAAACAAAAAAATTGTAGTTTTCTATGATATCACAAATAATAATAATAAGAATAAAAAACACTTACTAATCAATTTTTATTTTTTTTTTGTACGTACGTATTGTTCTATCGTCATATAAGTATCACCTAAATGTTAATCAAACAAAATATTGTATAATAATAATGAAATTTATTTTATCACTCTTATGTAACTTGAAACTAGATTTACATTCAAAAAAAAGAAACTCATTTATATAATCGTTACACTTAATCCTCCAATTATTAGTTAAAACAATAATGATGTGATCAGGGAATTTGGTTAATAATTCCGGAATTACGATGGTACGAGTGTATGGTATGGGTGGTATTACCGTTACGAGGATCGTATGGTACGACTGACCGGATTAGTACGAGGTATAGTACAGCCCGAATCTTATCGTTATTGTTAAACTATTATTAACGTTAAGAATTTGTCTTTTTAACATTTTAATTGCTAAGATTTTTAAGTACAGTATATATATGTAAGTATATACTCCTTATTAATGATTATTACTAACCATTATTTTTCCAATTTTCTAATTTTAATTTTCGAGAAATAATTATGTTGACTTATAATAAATCAAATATTGTAAAATTTAGATATTAAGTAAAAACATATAATTATGTATATATATTTTTTGTGTTAAATTAAAATTCGTTAGTTTGAGGTTTAAATACTAGGATTGGTATTGAAACCAAGTTTACTACCATACAGCGTGAACTGAAAAGCTTTCTTATAATACTCTTCATGATTTTTAGTGGTCTAGAATGTACAGTATTATACTAAACATATATATATCGAAAATAATAGGCGTTTTGAATATAAAATACGCCTGACGAAATCATATCATATAGTTTTGTCAATTCATCAATGACTAAACCTATGGTTTCGTCAATTCATCAATGATTAAACTTATGGTTTTGTCAATTCATCAATGACTAAACTTATGGTTTTGTCAATTCATCAATGACTAAACTTATGGTTCGTCAATGCGTCAATGGCAAAAATGATTTCGTCAAGCATTTATAGCTTTCATTTATATATGAGGAAGGTCAATAAAAGACAAACAAATTGTTTTTGGTAACCTTTTTTTCTATAATTATATTAAAAACATTTTTATCAGGTTTGATTTAATACTTGTTGAAATATTTTAATTTGAAATTTGAAAATATTTTATATAAAAAACATTTTTATAATATTTTACATATATGACTTATTAAATTAATAATTATATATAGTTTAAATTATAAAAACCTTGAAGTATTATAATTTATGCTAAATATTTGATCAATTAATTATTACAAAAACCAATATAGTCTTCTAATTAAAACAATTTAATATGATTATATTGTTATATAAATAAATATTTTTTAATAAGAATTTACTATATGAAAGTTTAAAATCTATTCAAATTTAAAAATAATATAAAATAAGGTAAAAAAGGGTATTTTTTAATTTTTTATCTCTTAAACTGTAGATTATTTTCAAACAAATTTGTTTGAAAAATTACTAAAAATATATTTATGATTTATATAAATATCATATATGAGTGCGTAAGAGTGAAAACCTGGAAACCGATCATAGTAAATTATTAAATCGGTTTTTAGGTTTTTACTCTCACGCACTTATATTATCAATTAAAAGCAATCTTCAAATAAAAGCAACCCTTAAATTTTGAAGCCAAAAATTTGACTATAGTTATTATATTTTATTAATAAAATTGTACTCAAATAAAAGCAACTTTTCCATTTTGGCTTGAAAAAATTTTTATTTTTTTTGCAACATTTTGGTTGCTTCTATTTGGTAACATATAGTATATATATATTTTTTTTGCTTTTGCTAAGGTTAATGTTAACAGTAGTTACTATCTTTATTTGTATTTTTAATTATATATATACATAACTTGTACAAAAATAAATATATAACTAGCTAATTATACAACTTTTGGTTGCTTATTTAAGTAGTCTGTTTAAAAATTTTACACTAGTTGTTATATTTGTAATCTGCTAAAAGATTATCTATTTAAATATTTAATTTTTTACTATACTAAACAAGTAACATCAAAACTTCTATACATCTAAGTACTATCTAACTTAACATATAATCTTCTTTTAAGCATATTTATTAAGCTATTACTTATTTTAAAGTATGTTATTTTTTTATTTATTTTACAGTTTTTATTAACAAGATTAATCATTATAAAGTTTATTTAATTTCTAGTAACCTATATTTTTTAAATTTTAAAATATTTAAATAAAATTTTGTTTAATAATATTTAAAAATAAAAATTATAATATAATAATATTTAATTTTATATTATAAGAAAAAAATCAAGTTACTTATAAACTATAAATAGACAAATTTAAAAAAATTTTTTAATCAAAAAAAATTATTTTCTAATTCTTAGCAAACTCTTTAAATATTAATTTTAAATTTATAATTTTTAATATAATTTTATAACTTATATAATAAATAACAATTTTTATTAATATATTTTTTTTAATTTCTTATAAAAATTTAAACTAATATTAAAACCAAAATTTTTTTCTAATTTTAGAAATATATAAATATTTAAAAAAAATTTTTATAATAAAATTTTTTAAATAAAATCTTTAAACTTATATTGTCTAAAAGTTTTTATTAATTTTAAAAAAATTTTTTTTTAATATTAAAGATAAGTACTTATAATCTAATTTTTTATTAATAATATGTTTTAGTTTTGTAATTGTATTATAATAGTTATAAGGGCAACTATAAAAAGAGTGTACAAATAGTCACTCATATAACTTTAATCATTGTTTAATTTAAGTAGTCTGCTTAAAAGTTTTATACTAACTGTTATATCTAAAACTCATTTGTAAGTTCTCTATTTAAACACCCTAGTTTCTATATTTATTCATTTATTTATTCTATTAACTGCTTCAGTTTTTATTAGTGCAAATATATTATAATCACTAGGTCTTTAAAATAGTTTACTCATATAAAAAACTTTTGACCTTAAAACAAAGCTATACAGATTGGTATACTCTCCTCTGTAGATCCCTTGACCAAAAATCAGTGAGAAGCAAAATGTAAAAAATATCACAAAACATACTAAGAAGCAATACTGAGACCCTTAGTTAGAGTTCAGGGCACAGGGACATGGGGCATGCCTATAGGCATGCCTCAAGTTCAAAAGGCATGCCCTTGTCATGTGATGTTTAAAGATATTTTAATTGGCTAATAAGTTCAGGTAAACTAGAACTGTAGATACTCAATCAACATATAAGATTTTTAAACTATATATTAATCATATGAT